CCATTTTTGTTGGCTGCCTTACAAGAAGGCCACGAACTCACGACATTTGCAATGCGAAAACAGAGCTTCATTATCTAGGCGATCTTTTAAATCAACGCGAAGAAAAACGCGATCATTGCTATTTTGCGCGAACTTTGTTCATAAAAATGTTTCGAGAGTCAAATCTTGTCACCCGGAATTCAAAGATGATATTTTTTTCTACACTTCTGCCTGTAGCATAAGCACCACAATTACCATTATATCACGTTTTTTATCGCGTCTATCTGTCAAACCCCATAGTAATTTGACATTGACGACCTCTGTGGCCGAGTGGTTTGTACGCCGGGTTTCATGGTGTCGCCGACTCGAGAGGTCCCGGGTTCGAATCCCGGTGGGGGCAGATGTTTGTGTGATGAAAACGAGCATTTGTACTCCAGTCATGAATGTTTAATATGTATTTGTATAAAAAAATACTCATACGTGTACAGTATATGTATTCTATGCGTTACCCTAGTATTCTATAACAGAAGCCTTATAATAGTGCTTACTTTGGGGCTAGGCTAATTGGTGTGAGTGTTGAAAATACATATTTATTATGTGTATTTATTTATTTGAGCGTGATAAAAATGCATTATACATCATAATATCGTGGTGATCATGCTAGGGGGGCTGGGTTCGTCAGATCAACATTTGCGCGATATGCGTATTCGTATTGAACTAGGACGACTTCTTATTATGCACAATGACACCATGCCACAGGTCATGTTACCCAATACGAATTACTCCTACTCACTTTGGGTGTTGATATGAGATTAATTTATCAAGATTACTAGCGGCTGGTCGCGACTGCGTCTGTGTTAACTCTTTTTCTCTTTCTTTTTCTTATTCCTCAGGAATTCTCAAAAACAGTTAATGCAGACCAAAAAATTTTAATAATCCTATGTATCAATCCAAGTTATAAACTATTTTTGTGACAAATTTCATCCAAATCCGTTAGCCGTTTTTGCGTGATAGAGTATGAAACAAAGAAACAACTCACTTTCGCATTCATAATATTAGTCTAGTCAGGATTAGGATTTGTCAGTTTTCGTTGCATAATTGGTCAGTCCATTCGCCCGGATAGCAAAGGGTGCGGTTTCGACTCCCGTCTGCTGCCTGGTCCGTGTGGATTTTTTTCTAGTTATATTTTCTTTAGATTTACACATCAAGCAGTTACATGCTTAAAAATAAAAATTATAACAATAATAATATCTTTAAAATTAGATTACCCTTTATTATAAATAATAAAACCACACAACAACATGACGATAACATTGATTCTTAACTTAATGTTGTACCTTTTTTATTAAACGTCTTTCCTAGATTAGTGACTATTTCAAATCAAATACATTTATTGATATTAAAAAATAAAATATTTGTTATGTGAAGTAAACATGGGTACCCACCTACTGTAACCACTTAACAAACTAAATTACTCATAAAGCTTTCCTGTAGTGAAAAACCACCGCAACACCCATATAACAGGCGATAAAATAAGAAACTACTAATGCCATATCGCTTAACACGACAGGTATCGGCTTCGTCATATAACCTAACAATACGACCATCCTCGACAGACTGTACAATCTGAACAAAGTGACGCCGAGATTCAAAGGTGGATTTGTTGTTACATACAAAGCTCCAATTAACCAAAAAGGAGTTAGGTGTTTCAGTTCAGTCAGATAAGCCCGCCGTACCATGTCAGGGCTCACGAATAATCCTCCGTTCACCCATGTCATCGCAGCCAAAGGACTTAATGCTAATAACTTTAGCGCAAGCAATGCCGAATGTACCACATACGTTTGAATTATAGGCCGGTCCAAAGATATGGTGAAGGACATTTCAAATGGGTTGCTTATTGAGCCTACGTGCTTATATTGCTAAAACTTTACATTAATTTTAGTAAGCCTAAATCAATTTACTCAATTCGCAGAATAGCCGACAAATTTGTGTTGTTAAGAACTGTCCAATTGATATCTGACATTATACTCCTTTTGTGTAGCTTTTACGTGCATAATATGCTCTTTGAATTCAATGAGACTATGAATTAGTAATTTATGGTATTCTCTTTGATGTTAAATGTTGCGACGTTACTGCGACTGGTTTTCAGATAAGTACCCCTAGCACGAACCATTATCGATTCGAATAGTTTGCAAACCGAAATGTCAATGTCAAATTTTGTATGGAAACTTGAACAGCAGCGGCACAAAGTACGTAACGAGAAGTAAAAATCAGTGCACATTTGAATGACATTTCGGACTCGTAAACGATACGAATTCAATATTGGTTCGTGCTAGGGGTACAATACCCTTAGCACGAACCATTAAAGATTCGAATAGTTTGCAAACCGAAATGTCAATGTCAAATTTTGTATGGAAACTTAAACAGCAGCGGCACAAAGTACGTAAGGAGAACTAAAAATCAGTACACATTTGACAATGATATTTCGGACTCGCAAACGATACGAATTCGATGTTGGTTCGTGCTAGGGGTACAGGTTTGATTCATATTCAATCTCCGATTCTGCTGAATAGATTAATACATATCCATTCTTTAGAGCTGTTCAAATAAATGAATGCATTACGCTAAATACAAATAAGTTATTATTTAACTTCTTTCAAAAATATATTTTCATTGTTCTGCTGACATAGACATGTATTTCATATACCTTTTTTTTTCACAGACGACGAGGAAAAAATCTTTTTACAGTCGACGGCGCCTTTAAGAGGCACACCGCCGGACGGACCTCAAACCTGACTCCCGCAAGTCTTACGGACCCCCAGTGGCTGACCACCGAGGACCCCGCAACTCTTACGGGCACTTTACAGCTTAATATCCGCTAAAAACGTCCTGCGAATACCTTCTACACTGCTTAATGCGAAGCCGCGGGGTCCCCGTAAGGGATTCTACCACGGCTCCGCACCAAGCAGCTTCCCGGCCTCGCCGGGGCTCTACGGCAGGGGTCTCCCGAGGTCTTACGGGGACCCCGCAGACGTGCGCAGGTAGGCCTGCGCGTGGGGGCTGGGTACGCGGCCTAGTGCCCACCGTCCCGCCCCCCATCCGCTGCGGAAGGGCTTCTTGGGCGTGCCCGTCCAATAACCCTCTGCCGCCCCCCCTTTGTAGGACAAAACTACAAGAGGGGGCCGCCGTTCCTGGGAGGGGGGAACAGGAGGGGAAGCGTAGTTCTTCCCGTCCCTCTCCCCCCTCCCGGTCGCCCGCGTCTCCTCGCGTCTTCTCCTAGGAGAAGAGGAGCGAAACGCGGGCGGATAACCGTTAATTTGATTTTTTGTGGAAATGGTAAAGGTTTTATTAATCGTTTTTTCCAAAAAATATTGAAAGTGGCATCTTATTTTTATCACAACTGGCTCAATTTTGATACTTTTAACTTTTTACAGTGCTCATTAGCAAGGTATTTCCAAGGACTTTAAAAAGTGTTCAGGGAGTATATGTCCTAAAATGCATCGGTTTCCCGTTACTAAGATTTGAATACTTACTTAGATTTAAGCCGAAAAAAATATACATACAATTTCCTATAGCTCACTAGTATTGATTTATTCCAAAATCTTTATATAACAAATTTTGCTTAGAAATTATTTTTCTATCGATTTGTCGAGTTATTTCATTAAAATAATTTTCATCCCCCGCGAAGAGGTGGCATCTACCCCCAGGGCAAAAGCGCAAGTTAAGGTATCATCCACCTTCAACATCATGGTTCAACGAAATCGGAGGTTGTAGCTGATTTTTGCCTTCATCGACTGGACTATATAGACGCTTGCGATACTAATTATTATATTAAGTAAAATGTAGTTTTATCAATTATTTTTTTCTTTCTCTTTTACTATAATGCTTTAAATTACTTTACCGCATAATGTCTCTGCTTAGCCCGATGTTAGACTGGTAGAGAATGCCATGTGGCATTAAGTCCGCCATTTGTTACAAAACAATAAAGAGTAAATAAATACTAAAGCTATCACTCTTGCCGTTGCCTACCCTGACCCAATTCCCTACCCCGCGGAGCATTGGAACCTTACCCATAGACTGAAACACAACACCATCACAAGGGAGTGTTAATTTACTGTGATCTTCTGTAAGGTGGAGATTACTTACCCAAACGGGTGCTCCATTTTGAAATCGTCCATTTCCAGCGGAAAATATCTCTCCAATTGATGATGTACTTACTTTTATACAATTAATGATGCACTTACTTTTAATGGACGATTATCTTCATCGTAGGTTAATATATGGTCTCCCTGTGGTTGACAGACCAATCATTTGCCTTAGATTCTAAAATTCGAAAGAATTAAGTTCTTACGACATATAGATGATAAAATACACAAAATATTTCGGAATTTATGATATGTTTCGGTATATACTTATCCGTGAAAACATCAAAAACTACTATGTACACTTCAATAGCTCTTATTTCTCCGTCTTCCGGAGGATACGTATACTGTGAGGCGATTTCGAGAAATTTCAACGGAAATTGGAATTCCACGCAATCGAAGTCGAGGCCTAAGGAAGATGGTTCCTGTGATTCTGTCAAACATCCGTATTTCCGTTTTTATTGAAATGCTTTGATTGAAAACACATCACATGATGAATCATATTATTTAGCTTAAAATTATCACAAAAGAAACAGTTTAATATGTCCAAATATTCTTATTGAGTATTTTTCCAGAATTTTAAGAGGGGTAAGGCATATGCTGTACGAATTTTCTGCTCTATTTAGGGCGCCATTCCAAGAATGCTTAATCTTAATTAACGCTATACTTCAACGATGTATATAAATGGAAAGAGTAATTTACTACTTTATAAAAAAAAACCTTTAACATGCATTTTTTTAATAAAAAATCCGATATTTCAATATTTCAACGCATACAAAGTGACATGAAAACACATACTTAAAAACTTATCGATTTGATGCTACGAAAAGTTTCATATTTTTTTTAAGAATTCGATGTATTTTTCACACCCGCTTTCGTTCATAAAGCTTTACGGTATTTATAAATAACCCACGTTCCCATGAAACCTGTGATGATATGAGACACGAACATAGCAGAGTCCGTTGCTATTCTTGGCAGCTTCAATACGTAGCCCAATGCCGCTACGAATCTCGCGATGACAAAGCTGCGCATCAAGATTATGGCTGTCATCGTTTCCGGAGACGTCGTCATGTACAGCCCCGCCAGCAGCCAAAAAGGCGTCAAGTTCTTGAGATCGTTAACATTTGCTTTTCTCACCTTCTCCGGATTATCAACGATCGACGCTAATGGCACCAGCGCTAGTAATTTCAGGATCAACATAGCTGAGTAGAAGATGTAACTCTGCATCAATTCGTCGTTTGGAATCAGACACGCCATTGTATTAATGGAGCACGGAAATTTTGTAAACACCTAATGGTGAAAAATAAATGCCTTTAGTTGCTTACCAAATGTTTTGTATATGTCATATTGACAGATCGAATAATAACGAGGTAATCTGTATTCCATGGTCAAATAAATTGATTTTCCGAACAATGATTTTCTTTAACACGAACATTTCAATTCTTGCTGTTTCCTTGTATCCTTGCGCCATTAAATAAATCACTCTTACTATCAAATTTTCTTTTACTACTTATAGTAGTAGAACTATAGATTCATTTTTAATCATAAAGCATTCCTGTACGTATATACCACATACCCACTCATATAGGCCGTGATCGAGAAAGACACGAAGAAAGCTAATTCTGTTGCCATCTTCGGTAACCTCTTCACATACCCCAGAGCAGCCACAAACCTTGCCAACACAAAACAGCGTAGAAGCGTCAAAGCAGTATTTCTCTCGGGCGATGTTGTTATGTAGAACGCTGCCACTAGCCAGAACGGCGTCAAATTCTTGAGGTCACTTACATTGGCTCTTTGTACCTTTTCGGGATTGCACATCACTGCGGCCAAGGGTGCTAAAGCTAACAGCTTTATCGCCAGTATCGCGGAATATACGAAATAGCTTTGCATCAGGTCAGTACAAGAAGGGCATAAGGACGACTGAGAAGACATTGTGCACAAGAACTTTTGTAATTTAGATAAAAAGAAGTTACATGTTTAGGCTAAGAAATTTTTGTGTTTACTTTCTTCTCGAGAGGTGAATGTCAATAATGGCCATAGTTGAGGTAAATATTATTCGTGAGAAAATGGAAGATGCACACAGAAAGAGTATATATCTCGGAGGATCTATACCATGGTCGAAGGATTCCTCTAACTTGGTCCATGATCTGTAATATGAGTCGCAGAGAATAAATGAACGCACATACCTTTTTTCGATGACTGGGGGAAAAAATGTCCTACCTAACTTTCGAAAGACTGCTCCAAATTGGAAATTTATTTTATGTTGTATTGTCAGAAGAAGATTTCTATTTAAGTCTTTTTTAAAAATCTGCTAAAAACTACTAGAAATATTGGAAGTCGAGGATTGTTGTTAGGTATATGAAAATCTTAACATATCTCGATTTCCCATTAAATTATAATGCATGTAAAAAATTCGACGTAAGAGTTTCGCCGCGTCACCTGTGGGTATTACCCATATGGGTATACAACATGGTAATAAAAATACCGTTACATATTGAATTATGCATGAATGCATATTGATATTTTTTTAATTTAGCCAATAAAACTTCCTTCACGATGAGAGTCGACATTGAAAAATTGACCGATTTATGTAAGATGAGTTCGATGGCGCGTTCGATATACACATACATTCTCGGAAATTAAGCAAATTCCGCTCTAAACGATCATAGGATGGTTAAACGAAAATGGATTATTGCAAGATCCTCCGTATTTCAGGGGACCCTTTTAGGCTGGCTGGCTGTCTCCAATTATTAGCACCCACCAATCCGCGCACCCCAATCTACCCAATCCATTTCCTGAGAAAGGCCTGTGCCCTAGAAGTAGGGACATAAATAGGCTGATGGTGATCATGGTCCCATTTTGCATTCCCAGGACGCAATGAGGCGGCGCAACGCAAATTACTGTTACTATTTTGAGCGCAAGACAATTTACAGACGTTTTTATATTCAAAAAGGTGGCCACCTTAACATATAGACGCTTACGATAGTACCATACCAAATCTGTCAATAGCACCGTTGCCTTACCCGACCCAATCCCCTACCCCGTGGAGCCCTGGAACCTTACTCACTGACAGAAACACAACACAATCAAAAGGTAGTGTGTGTCTTTACTGTGATCTTCTGTAAGGTTAAAGTTACCTTTGAGCAGAAATTCCGTTACGAACAACCTCTCTTCTTTCTCGACTTTATAATCACCCCTCATGTAAGTATATAATTCAGCCCATAAGGCAACGTTCGCCGACACGAACCAATTTATAGTAATTTCAATACCCATAAGCGTAACCGTCCATCATTTGCATGTTGTTGTAACCTCATCAGTCGCCAACGTGTATGGCACAACTAGCGTATTGTATTATCCTTCCATATTCATTACTTCATCACATACTGATAACTCAGATCACATCTGTAACTGCGCCCGTATTTGTCACATTAACGCGCCCTGCTCAATGATATTTGTGTTCTCGATCAAACTCATGAATAACTAACGAATTGAATGAATTCCTGTCCTGTTCAATACGCGACGTAATAATTTGATTGTTTCGAGTGTACAAAGTAATTGTGATGTACTACGTGTATTTCAGTTAAAGCGATACGAAATGTTGGTAACGCTTTTTTTAATTATTTGTAATTTTACGTTTCTAAAATCCGTATAAAAAGAAACGTTTACTTTTTTTTTATTATCTTTTATATAAATTTTATTTATATATTTATTTCAGGAAATCTACAACACTGTCTTATTTCTAGTTACATTTATAATATGTTCATATACTGATGTCAATTACAGTTTTCCTGGTAACGTTTTAACTTACGTAACATTTTAGGTCTATCTACATATTACATTCAAAAATGTTTGCAACAATAATTTCATTTCTGTCTATATGTTTATTAATTCAGATATCACACGGCATGTTTATAAAACAACATAAATACAATGTGTATCATATAACGAAGCAATAAAATATACATACAATCCCCAAACTTGTCTTATTATTTAGCCAAATATGCTTAATCAATTCAACAAAATACGAATTACAATGCTCTTTTCCCGGTCATTCATTAGTTAGGAGCTTTACAATGAATTGCTTAAAAGTACGTTTTGTCCCTGTAAAAGGATCAGCAGTACTAAAATGTTTATTATAATCATTGGCTAATCGTGTGAGTGGCGCATTTTGAGCATAATTAGTGGAGTGAGAGGGAGTGTGGAAAAAGAAAGTGTGCCTGGTGCGACGCGATGGCACATGAAGTGCCAACTTTTCCAAAAGTTCAAGACAGTCAATTTGCCCGCGGACCAAATCAAACAAGAAACCCATATCCAACACATGGATGCTAGATTAGAAACAGTAGAACGACCCTACGACGAATGGGATAAATAAATGCATCAGAACAATCTTCTCAAAAAGCTTACTGAACGCATTATTGTTATAACAATAATTATAGTTTCGATGTAGGCATTTATGTAATTTATTATTTGTGAAAGTAACCAAATCAAGATTCTATACGCCTATCAGTTGACAAGGGCCACGACAGACTATAACAGTTCCTTAGAAAGACAAGTATATTCGATACCAGATTAGCCGGAACAAACTCCTGGTACTTAGCGTTGATCGCGTAATCGCAAAGTTGGGATAGTTCTATTAAAACGACGCCTATAGTGTGAAATACTTCTTCAGGCGAGCACTCTTATAAATTTCCTCTGTACCCAAGCGCTCTTAAAAACTTGCTCAACTCATTGTGAAAAAAGCGAAAATTCCTTTTGCGAAACTTCGTGTGGCAGAATTCTGAAAAGCGCTATATCCGTACCGGTTAGGACAAGGCTATTATTACGCTCAGTACACAGCTTTCAATTGTTCTCTAGGAAGAAAAGGAGTTTTTGATTGATGAAATTACTTCGCACAATGAGTGGGGTCTAAAAACATTCCTTTGTTGCTTCCAGGAACTCATAGGTAATACTTAAGCAACTTTTTGTTCTCGTTAAGCCGTAAATTGAATAATATACATTCCATCGAACCGAAACAGAATATTTTGCTTCGTGGCCTTTCTAATTCTCATTTCGTTTGAGATAACAAACATGTATGTACAATAAGACAGCATATTTTTGCGTAGAAATTACCGAAATAATTGAGTCTTGAAAATGGCACGGTAAAAAGATACACGTGAAATTACGCTCCATTGCGTTGATTCAAGGGTAAGAAATTAGGTCAACATTATTGGTATCATATGTTTCTATTGGCTCAGACACGCTAAAAGAAGGTGATATTACTTTTTCCCCATATCACGATGTCTAGTCTGCCGTGATCCGTGAATATAAATAATAAAAAAAAGAAAGGGTAGGTTCTAGGAAGCGGTAACATGCGGACCGTCCCCTTGTGAATACATGGCTTGTTTTAGATGTTTTTATAGTTATAGATTACGTATCTACAGTATACACTCTCTAGAGTGGCAATAAGAAAGTCAGGTAATAACCCGACTCGCATTCACATGCACTAAGTATTAATCTCTAAGGCATGTCCGCTCTCTCGCCGCGGCTATACTTCACTGCCGTTCGTGGTGGTGAGATTCAAAATAAAAAACGTTTTTTAGCAAAGGACATTGGGCAAAAATGTATGGACGCTGCACCCACGTCCGCCACGGCTTAAACTACATTTGTTTGAAAGGTATTATAGTCAAGATCATCTGTGCCAAAGCGCATCAAATTCCATCCCGGGGGTCTTTAGTTATTTTAAGTTAAATGTATACAAGTACTATAACGAACAAACATTAATAAAACAAGGGAATTAATTTAGTTAGTTAGTTCGACTCTACATAGGGTGCTCAGGAATTATGGGAGTACTTCACAAGGTGCAAGGGTGTCCCCTTATGTTATTCTGCCGCGCTAGAGTAAATTCAAATATCCCCGCATGGGTTGGGTTTTTTTTAAACATTCTGTTCGCTATAGTAAATTGTCCGTTTTATATAGAAGATATGTAAAACGGAGCGACCACAGATTACACAAACTTGTCCACGCTTCGGAGAACTCATAATTCCAGTTCATCCATACTAATTGACAAAACCGATAATCGTGTTCCAATATCCAAAGCGTGTTAGATAAAAATCAATTAAGTAGCAGGGAGCGCACAATCACAACGAAGTAAGACGAGTCGACTATTTGCAACTGCAAGTCCTTTAGCATCCGTAAACCGTTTTGAAATGTCTCGGTAAGAGCAAGCGCAGGATGGTCGGCTGGCTTTGTCGTATATCTGGTTGTATAGTACGAAATGGCATATTATTATGATTACAAATAATATTAAAATGAAGGTACTATAAAATGAATTTATTCAGCTACTTAAATATACCCATGTGTCATATCTATTGACTAACAGGATATTTTTTACGGTGTCATATCTTTTGACTCCCAGGATATTTGTTTTCGGTGTCATAATAAAAAAGGCTACTTTTTCATAAATCTATCGATTCATACTAATTACATTGTTGGCGGAGCTGGGTGCGTTTTGCCCATTGTCCTTTATCGGCTTTCCTGAAACTTAAACTCTTTTTCGAGTCCTTTTTATGTCTTTTTTTCCCCTTGGCCCGTGGGGTTCTAGCGCTTTAAGGCTATTTAAGGAAATAGCAAAAAGGTTAGGCGACATCACAGGAGACCGAAGAGCTGGCAGCTACCTCGGACAAAGAATTAGTCTAGCCATTCAAAGGGGTAACGCTGCCAGTATCTTCGGATCCTTGCCTAAAGGGACTCCTTTTAATAAAATATTTTAGTTATTAATTTTATTTTTTAAGGTTTCTAGTTTTACTTTAATTGTTCTAGTATTTATATATATAGAGTAATTATGTAATTAGATAGATACTTATTTGTGTACTTATTAATATAATATTGATAATTAATATCGGTTAATATATTTTTTTTTCACTTATTCAGCTTTGGCCATGAATGGTTAATAA